GTTATTTCTGCCATTGGTTCTCATTGCCCCTCTGTTTACCTTATACAGAGAGATTGATCCCTTATTTCATTTACTCATCAAATATTTATGAAGCATATACCATGTACCAGGCATTGTTCTAGGAGCTAGGGAAACAGCAGTGAATAAAGCAGACAAAACCCCTGTCTTCGGGGGATTATATTCCAGTAGAAGAAAATGGTAAACAAGACATTTATGTAGGAAGATGGACATGACAGTGACATCGAGAAAATTAAAACAGGGAAGGGAGAGTGGCAGCATGAGAGGAAGAGGAGGTTCAAGTTGCGAGAGTGTGCTGAGAAGGTGATCTTCGAGCAAAGACCTTAAGGTGGAGCGCACGAGCCAACCACCTCCGTACCCGAGTGAAGCCCCTTTGAGACAGGGCACGGCCAGAGCACAGTCTTTGGGGAAGGAGCGGCCAGCACGGGGCGGAATGGCAAGCGTGCCGGCCTCAGAGTGGGCAGTGGAGCCAGAGGAAGAGTGGGGAGTGGGGGGAAGATGCCAGGGGGGACCCCGCCTGTGGGACAGGGGGTCAGGTTGGTTCTTTGCCCCTCTGGCTTCTACTCACAGCGAGGTGGGAAGCCACTGGAGGGTGGCGAGAACTGGGTTATCTGACTTAGGTCTAAGGAGCACTTTGGCTCTTGGGTGAGAATAGGCTTGGGTGAAGGATGTGGGTGGATAAAGGAGAAAAATTTAGAGGCTGTTAGAGTAATCCAGTGACTTGGGAGCAGTGGGGATGTTGACAAGTGATACATTCTGAAGATAGAGCCGTTGCGATGTGCAGCCCAGTGGAGGATTTGGGGATAACTGCTGAGTTTTTAAACAGGACCAGTGAAAGATGGAACCCCCTGTGAACTTAGATGGAAGGGACTGTGGGTAAAGCAGAATATGGAGAAATAATCAGGGATTTATTTCTGGGCATGCGAGGCTTTGAATCCCTCACCCATGATATATCAAATATCTCAAGACAATTGCCATGTCCAGATAATAAACAAGAATAGTCCGCTATACTTGTTCTGCTATAATGCACATAAGTGTCCTTAAAAAAATCACTGGGCCATGCAAAATTGCACAATAAAAATTGTAGAGCTTATGGAAAATAATGATCTTGGGTCACAATAGTCAAAAACTTTTCTGGTTAGGCAGATATAAGTGGACACAGTTTCCCATGTATTAAATGCCTATGAAATGGCACTTCCAGGTTTGGCATTGGCATTAACATCACAGTTGAGCAATCTTTTCCAGCCTTAAATCCTGGGGCATATTTTTCTGTCTTTAAGATGAAGCTTCTTCAAGGAAAGTATTTATTACAGATACCTGTTTCCTCAAAACTGAAAATTTGATACAGTGTAGCTCCTTCTTTTTAAGTTATATTCCTCTTTTTTAAGAGTTAGGAAACTGGATATGGACCGGAAGTTGCAGCAATGTTTGAAACTACTAAACCAGTCACTACTAGTATCGAAAGCAGCTATTTATGCAGGATTGAACAATTTCCATTGAATACAGGTATTGCCTACCTTTCTGCTTGCCCTGCTGGGCATTTTGAACCAGGAAGGGTGGGTGTTGAATGAGTTTGTGTTTTTGTTTTGTTTTATGTTAATAGCAAAGTTGACAAATGTAAAGGAAGAATAAAACAGAGCATCGTGAAATAACACACGTGTTGAATCAGAGTGGCTGGATGATGTTTGAGTATGTTCTAGAGTGGCTGGTAGATGATGTTCCAGAGGGGGTGTGTGTGTGTGTGTGTGTGTGTGTGTGTGTGTGTGTGTGTTCTGTGGCAGCTCAGTTCAGCTGGATACAGTTTTCTGTTTTTCGAAGCAAAATAGAGAATCAGCAAAATACAAAATTCACATTATGCTTAAAATGTTTCCTAGTACATCAATTGCACTGGAACAAATACATAATTTTGGAGCAAGTGTTATGGAACAATTAGCTGCACTAATATTAACACAGGAAGATTTTAAAGTTCTAGAAATGTAAATTTTGTAGAAGCAAATTTAAGAATGCTCTTAATCACTGTGTAGGCTGGATGTAGAAGGGCGGCATCGGGGTGTAAGCACAAAGGTTGCTTAAGTGGGACTTCGGTTTACAGAAAGGAAGATTAGGGGAAATTTGCACCAGACCTCGCAGAGTGGGAGGGTTCCAGCAACTCCCACTCTCCAACCTGCTCCGGGACTGAGCCAGGGGCAGCTGAGCAACCTCCCCTTCCGGTGGAATCTCCGTGGCCTTCCCACCCCAGCCGGGCCGAGGAGTGAGGATTGCTTCGTAATTGCTTGCCCTGTGCAGAGCTTTACCCTGACCCTAAGCGGGCACATTAGCACGGGCCCAGAGGCCCCGCACCTAAATGAAATGTAGCCGGACGCACACGGAGCTGAGACTCAGCAAATAAGAACCACATATAAAAATGAAAACTTGGTCCCATATGTCTTTAAACCCATGACGGTTACTGCTGATATGATACTGCAGGGAAAATGACTTAGATTTTTGTTGGGTAGATGGATTTTGGGGGTCTCTCTGTGCAATTTTCTTTAACATAGTGGGGTCTTTGTCACTGTAATGAAAACTGCCTTCAGCTGGAAGGAAAAAAAAAGAAGAAGAAAGAGAAACAATAGCAGCCTAGAAGCAGAATTTTCCAAGTAAATTAAACACTTTTGAGACACAGATTTATATTAGAAACACTGATAAAACCTTATCCTTGAAGGTGTGAAGATCTAGACACTTAAAATTACTGTAAATAGCAGTATTATTGCCGCGGGCATCGATGACGATCTGAGTGTGTGAAAAGGCATGCATGGGAAAAGGGACAACAAAGGAAAAGGTCACATCCAATAAAGCTTGTTTGCAAAATCAGGGGGAAATTGGTGCGGCTTTGAATAACAACACCTTTCACTTTTCCTTCTTCATAGATATTATATAAAAGGAAGCAGCAAGAAAATAACACATGGAAGATCTTGCACATGCTTCATTTACATGAACAAATGCAGATTTTGCAGTGTATTTTCTATTCTCTGTGTGTGCAGAATTCTGCAATTCAGCCCAAGCCCAGGACCCCTAACCAGGAGGTTTGAGAGCTATTCTTAGCCAACCGCAGATGCGACCTTCCATGCGTCTCCTGCCTATAAATATAAAACCACTCACCTCTCAGGTTTATTGGTAAGACTGGATGAGTCGATGCATATGAAAATATTTTTCCAGTAATCTGCTGATGGAAGATTAAGTATTATTAATGTGGGAACATAGAGGGCGAAAAAATGGTCCAGAAAAGAGGAAGATTGCTTTCGTTCCCCTAGCTCCCATGGGCAATGCGTGTTTTGCTGGTGGGGGAACTAGGGCAGCTGGGTATGGTAAAGACAAGCGTGCACATGTTCAAGCGTTTGCAAATGCAAGGGGGACAGCCCTTTATCAGGCAACAGATATGCTGAGTTTCAGGTTTGCGTTACCAGGAGACTTGGAAAAGTTGAAACTCAGCCTAACTAGGGCTGCCAATGGCCTCTAATGAAAATTTCCATTTGGAGAGACTAGATGTTGACTTGGCATGACACCAAACAAGCAGCCTGCTGCAAAATTTTACACCAATTGTATTTCTCCTAATTAAACCCTGTCTGACCTCAGCATTAAGAAACAATTTGTTTCAGGATATAACCAGCACACATAAGCAATTACATTCTGTTTGCCCCATTAGCATTATTTGGCTCCTTTGCTATCCAGGGCTGCTTCTGCAGCAAATGCTGCCCCTGAGCCAGAGCTATAAAAAGGCTGGCTGGTGCGGAGGCTTTTCCCCATACCAGGAACTAAGAATATCATCATATTTTAGCCAAGCCAAAGATTCTGGGAACAGTGTGCTTCTGTGTTTATTATAAGGGAGTGTCTATATATATGAATATTTCTTAGGAGTTAAAAAAGGCTCCACTTATAAAAAACCCGAGGAAGCTATAATAGTCTAAGTGTATAACCATCCAAGCTCAGCTGGTATGCTAGCTCTCGTTTTCCCGTTCACTGTGACCCTGGTACTTTCACTTTTTCGTGGCTGTCAGACTTGGTGGATTTTGGATTTTGAAACCAAAAATCATTGGGTTCTGCAAAACTTTCGGTGGGGTCGGGGGGTGGGGGGCAAATGTTCTTTTTATAAAAGAAGCATTGCCCTGGCTGGTGTGGCTCAGTGGGTGGAGTCCCGGGCTGCGGACCGAAGGGTCACCAGTTTGATTCCCAGTCAGGGCACATGCCTGGGTTGCAGGCCAGGCCCCAGTAGAAGGTGGCAACCACCCATCGATGTTTTTCTCCTTCTCTCTCCCTCCCTTCCCCTCTCTGTAAAAATAAATAAATAAATAAATAAATAAATAAATAAATAATAAAGGAAGCATTCAATCTATACAACAGAAGTGAAATGCAGAAAGACCTTCAAACCTGAGAACTCTGAGCAGACGCACCTCGGAAGCTTGTTTCTGGGGCAGGAGCTCTGGGGCTGGGATGGGGAGGAGGTCAGCCCTCTGGGCTGTGCCACTTGCTGCATCTCCAGCACATCACTCACCTCTCTGAGTCTCCTTTTCTCCTTTTATACAACAGGGCCACAGGAACCCGAGGTGTTTCTTCTGGAAGGTAATTGCATAGGTGTGTGGAATTACGGGTTGTGTTACTACTTGGTCTTGAAAGCTGGAGAGCACTGAGTAGATAGGAGGACGTTCTTCATTCTGATCCATTCTGACGGCTCAAGATGCAGTCTTCCACTCTTTGGCCGTCCTTGCTCCGGGAGCTGCGGTGAGGAGGTAGGAAGGGGATGAGATGTATTCCATGTCAGAAGGAGACAGGTAGAAACGAAGGAATTCTGGATGCTCTGCTGGAGTGAGCAACCAGGGGGGTGTTAAGCCTCAGTGTCGTCTCATTTGTACCTCTGCCGCCTCAGAACGAGATTTACCATTGGTTTCTCTACTTCAGTTTTTCTGCCTGTGAAATGGGAAGAAATCCAAATCCCCATTATCTTTCAGGGGTCCCGTGGGGAGAAACACGCCCTGCCAGCTAGGCCGTGGGACTGTCAAGACCCAGGTGTTACTGAGTGCGGCCTGACTTCCTCTCTGCATGAGGTGTGTCGTGCCAGCTCTGTGACACTTTCTCTTCAGAGAAGAGCATCTCTCTGTGAATCAAGAGCACCTTCTGTTGGCAACTGGGTCTCATGAGCCCTAAAAACAAAGGTGCACTTCAGCATTGCAGCAAACTTAGAGGAGACCAAGAATACAGGTAAGTGCTTACGGACCTCAAGAAGCTGTTAAGATGAATCCCCGCCCCCCACCCCACTGACCCCCACTCCTGGCAAGGTCGAAGCCCATTGTCATGCTGTTGCCTCACATGCGGCAGGCAGACACGTAGCAGCAGGACTCACCTTTCGAGGCCCAGGGTCTGGCCTGCAGTGTGGTCCAGTGGAGAAAGGGCTACATTCTGAAAGAGAAAACTTCAACATGAATCTCATCTCAGACATTTACGAGTCATGTGGTTTGAGCAAATCCTTTAAATTCACCAGGTACCAGCCTAACCCCATTTAATTTTCCAAGTATTGCTATCCACATTTTGTTTTTCGTCTACATATTTCTCACAAGTCAAAGACGCGGACACATCTTTTATATTAAGTGGTTAGTTGATCAGTAAATAAAAAAAAATTACCTAAAATCATGAAAATTCAGCTTCCTACACTCCCTTACAGGTCCTTCTAGCGGGTGGGGTGGGGGGCAGGAATCTGCAGTTTAAAGACACAGCCCTGTTGAATTTTATGCAACTGGCCTGCCTCTAAATTAGACTTCACAAACACACCTGGCACCCAGAACGCTGCCCGGTGGATAGTAGGCATTTGATATACTCCTGTTAAATTCATGGAGCAATGGCAGCCTAGCTCCACATAGGAAGGAAAACTGCCTGCCCAGTGGGAAGTCTAACAGTGAGAGCTGAGTTAACTCTCTAATATTAAGGTGTCAGTTTCCTGTTAGGAGGAGCGGGAAGGTGAGAACTGCTAAGAATCAGGGTAGGAAGCCTTGGAGCTTTCAAAAGAAGGCCCTGACAACAAGACCCCTCTGAACTACCTCTTTTCACTTTTTGATAAGCGTTCTTTACTGTCTGTGTTCCTTTACTGGCTCTGGATTTCGATTGAATTCATAACTGTGATGTTGGTTATCTGTTCCATCTTGCTCTTGGCATCTCCAGCCATAACTGATCTTGCTTTCCTCCTTTTCTTGACAATTCCCTGCCAAGCCACTGCCTTTTGAGCATTTCATTGATACTGATCTGATTTTGCCATGAGCTACCTAATGCCTAGTGAATTTAAAATTTCTCTGCATAGGGCTAAGAGTAAAATGCAGGATGCCAATTAAATTTGAAAGTCAGAGAAACCACACATATCTTTTTTAGTATAAGTTAGGCCCAAACATTGCACAGAACATATTTATGATAAAAATTACTTTGGTATATCAGAAATTCAAATTTAACTGGACCTCCTGTACCTTTATTTGGTGAATCTGGCAACCCAATCTCTGGATGCCCTTGTTTTGCACCTTCGGTTCTTGTTAATTTGATTCTTGATTGTCAAATTTAGTCTAGCCTTTGGTGACTGACTTTGCCTTGCCTTTTCATATCTGTACCTACTAGACGTTTTCATATTTCCATCTTCCTAGGCTTTCGATTTGCATCTTCTTGGTTTTTGTTACCATTTTGGTTTTAATCTATCATTCCTCTTCAACTAGCATTGCCTGGTGTGGAGAATGTTCAGATCCCAATTTTAACAGTCTCTGAGCTACACTGGGCTGCTCTGTGTCTCCTACGTAGCTTCTAGTCCTAAAAAAAATAGAAAGAGGTTGGAAGGAGTAGTTAAATATCAAGGGAGGACTGAGCTACAGTGGCATAGACTTAATACTACCATGGATTAGTCATGGCTGTACTTGACCATGACCATATTTCTGTTTTAAATAGAAACAGATACCAATCCTTCGGTTCTGTCTCTCCGGCTTGGAAATCAGGACAGGAGAAACTGGCCATATTGGAAGATCTTTTTCAACATTTGAATGACTCTCTTTTTTTGTCCTCATTCTCCTGACCCTCCCTGTCTGTCATATTTCTTTCATTTCATCACGGCTTAATTATCATTTTATCTTTTCTATCTACTTTTAATGTCATATGTATGTAATTTACACAAGACTTGCTGATTCTCTAAGAGATGTCCAACCTTTTGGTGTCTCTGGGCCACACTGGAAAAAGAGATATCTTGGGCCACACATTAAATACATTGTGATGCATAATAGCAAAAAAAAAATCATAATGTTTTAAGTAAATTTATGATTTTCTGTTGGGCCATGTTCTCAGCCATCCTGAGCTGCATGCAGCCTTTGGGATATGATATTTTCTCACTGTCAGAGACCATTTGGTTTTTTCTTCATCACCATCATCATCATCATCAGTATTGATTTATTCAATATCTTTTAAGTGGAACCACTGTGCTAAGTATTATTTTATATACATCATCTCACTTTAGTCTCATATCATTCTTATTCCCCTTATACAGAAAAGAGAAAAACAGATGCATAAATGTTAAATTACTTGTGCTAATATATATCATTTGGAGAAGCCAAAATGCCAATCCAACTCTTACTGATATCACAGCCCCACTTTAAATATTATACTATACTTCCCTCCATGCGACTTGTACCAGCTATGTAAGCTATTATAATTCAGTGTTATAAATAGTCTCCTGTGACATCCTCTGCACCTAGAGTTCTGCCACGAACCTTTTCCTGCTGTACTTTTCTTACCCCATGACCTTGACCTAGCACCTTCCTAGAATCTCTCACTCACCCTGAGAGCATCTAACTGTGGTCCGCAGAGTGGGTGGGTAATTTTTACCATGTGTGACTAAACTGGGCCCCTTCCATCCCTGCAAAAAAAGATATTTTTCTCCAGCTACAGGATTTGTAAGATTTTTGAGGATCAAATCCAAATTTTAAGCAGTGAGCCTGCTGAGTTAGTTTATTTAAGTCTGGGATGTTCCTAAAGTAAATAGGATTCTGTTGTAATTCTACCAAAGTCCAAAGGAAAATGCTTTTCTCTTTCCCCATTACTACGTCTGGAAGAAACTGACCTTGATGTACCCTGGTAGAGAGCATGTTAGTGGCGGGGGTCCTCTGGAGTTACGTTTACCAATGTATCAGCCAAACCCAAATCTGTTAGCATTTGCCCCGCCTCTGCTCAGAGGGTCTTCCTGCTTCCAAGAAGCACTATCATTTGTTGACTTTGCCCAAAACAAAGAAGGGTGAGGAACATCTAAAGTCACAGGGTGTTTTTGTTTTTACTATTAAAAATGTTTCAGTAGAAAATGCAGCTGTGGTCTTAAAATGTTGCATAGTTTCCAGAGAATCCCTGTTTCTCTGGGTTCCTTACTCTCTAAAAGCTAAGCGACTTACTGCTCTCAAAGGATGGTACAGTGTGTACTTTTTAAATTCTACTTTGAACGCGGCCTTTCTGGTTAGCTTCAACTTGAGACACTGCAGCCCAACATGAAGGGCATAAATAATTTGTGAAACCCTGGATGTGACAACTTATAAAGCAGTAGTAGTGTCTGCTGACTAAACATATATGCATGAAGGCCTACGCACACACACACACATTCTTAAGAGCTGGTATTCTGGGTTGTCTTGTGGGCAACACACCCTGAGGTCCAGTCTGCACTTTGAAGGCCATGTTCCTAATATCTCATCTACCATGTGGGCCTATGATCTGAATGTTGCTGGAATGTGCCAGGATGCCCACATCCTTGTGCTGAGGTCCTCCCTGCAAGACGGCAGGAGGTGAAAGTTGGGCTTTGAGAGATACACGGGTTTGTATGTTACTTCCCAGTGATGTTGCTTCTCACCAAAACACTTCTACTTCTTTTCTAGTTCATTGAGGGCAAAGTTCTTGGGGGCCAAGGGACAAGGCAAGAGTTCATCTGCAAAAGGCCATGATCTAATTAGGTCATCAGAAGAAAGACAGAACACCCCCAGTTAGACGTGGGAAGGAGAAAGGGCCTGGTATTGAAGTCATTGGTTGGAACATGACATGTGGTGGCAACTTAAGGAAGCAGAGACCTATATTGTGTAAGAGCCCTAGCTGCCTGCATTTGAATTACGGTTCTGCAATTTATTATATGTAAGTCCAGACTCCACCCTCCACCATGCTAAAGGCCTTTGTGGCCTATAAAATAAAAATTTTTGTATTATTCAAGTAGTGATTGATACTGGATTAGATTACATAAAGTGCTTAGCAAAGGGACTGAGACCTAAGGGATGAAAATTATGGTGATTGCGTTAGTTGTCTATTGTTGTGTCATAAACTACCACAAATGCAACAGCTTAGGCCATATTAACTCATCTCTCAGAGTTCTATGGGTCACAAATCTGGCACGGCTCCAATGGGCTCTCTGCCATCTCAGGGTCTCACCAGGTGAAAGCAGGGATTTGGCTGGGGTGGGGCTCTTTTTTAAATTAATATGGGAAGAATCTGCTTTTAAGCTCCTTCGGGTTGTTGGCCAAATTTGGTTCCCTGTGGGTGAAGGACGGAGGACCTCTGTTTTCTTGCCTGCTGTCCCCTGGAGGCCTCCCTCTGCTTAAGGCCATGTGCACACCTCCGATGGGTGACTCCATCTTCAAGCCAGCAGCTATGGGTCAAGTCTCCCTACATACCGACTCTCTCTGACTACCTGTCTTGCTCTTAGTCAGAGAAAACTTGCTGATTTCAAAGGGCTCACCTGATTGGGTTGGACCCACCTAGATAGTCTTGTATTTTCAGAGCAATTGACTGGGGGCTTCAACTATCTGTGCAATCTCTCCCCAGCAGTACCTTGATCTGTGCCTGATTGAAAAACCAGAGGACAGGAATCTCGGAGAGGGCATCTATAGAATTCCACCTGCCCTGGTGGTGATAAGCAATGTCAATTGATGGCTCAACCTTTTGCCTAGTCTTTGCATATCAAAGAGAGGGCAGAAGCTAAGTTTGGAGGTTAACTAAGTTTGAAGCTAAGTTAAGTAGAAACTGCTTAACTGTTCTGCATCAGAAAGCAAATTTCATTTCTTTGCTCTTGAGAGGGCAAGAAAGAGTTGTAAAATGGGAAATGAATAGAGAGGAGAGAGAGAAAAGAGAGAGGAGAAAAGCCACATGGCAGGGAAACTGAGGAGTTTTAAGAATCCAGGTATTTATACTTGAGGGGTTTTGTTTGTTTGTTTGTT